CAAGTCGGGGCCAGTGCTGAAAAGACTCTGGCCCTAGTTGAGACCAATCTAACCTCCTTGAGGCTTGGGACCTCCAAAGTATTGTTATTTGTGGACCTTAAGGTCCTCCGCGGGGCATATCAGGAGAGGCGGTCCTGTAGGTATGTGGGTCCTAGGCTGCATGGTACATAAGATGGGCATCAGACCAAAGACCCATCTCAGACAGCAACCTGTATCTCACAGTGGCCAGCCGGATCCCTGTAGGGCATGAGTGCAACAGCCCTCTCTCCCACTGTGGTTTTCCAGCAACTGGACCAGGGTGCAAATTGCTTAGAATGTCAGGTTTCTAGTCCTAATGGCTTGAAATTCTACGTGAATGTTGCTTCATAACAAGTGCTTGTGATCTCTGCAGGAGCCGAGGAAAAACACAGAATATGGTGTTGGACACAGAACTTATTGTTTTTGCAAGAAAAAAATCAAGATTCTAGCCCTTAACCCCTTAATTTTTAGTCCCAACGATAAGATGGAAAGTGTGCCTGTTGGGGTGGGTGAAAAATATTTGCAGTAGTTTTGGGGGTGAGGGAGTCATCCATGTTTCACTGAGGATAGCAAAGAAGGTATAAAATATGCAAAGTCCAATTAAAAAAAAATAATTTTTTTTGCACAACTATACAAAGTAAGAGTAATGTGTGCAAGAGTATACCCATACAGTTCTGGGAGCTGCCTCCAGAGTAGCAGGTCAGGTAAAAAGCAGTAGACCACCAGTCTGGGCCCTGTCAGAACAGATGCAGAGGTGATGGAAGTTTACTGGCCCAAGCCAAGATCAGCTAGCTCCTAAGAAGGAAGAAACCTCCACCAGAGAAGAAGAAGACTGGCAAAATAAATAATTGATATGCAGGACAAATTAGCTAATTTGAAACCCAAGAAGAAGGGGTAAAGGTTACTGCATATTCTTCAAGTTTTGTGTATAGACTTCTACATTAGTGTAACTTTTAAAACTCCCATTTGTAAAAAGTTGAATAAGGTTTAAAAATTGGATTGTTAGGAATATAAAGTTTTATGGACGTGCATGAACAAGGATTAAATAATGGAACCAAGAGAGGGAGTGGAGGGAAGTCAACCTGAAAATTATGGTTCAAAAATTGGTTTGTGGTGTTATTTTCTTTTTGTTATTTTTGGGAAATCAATAATTTTTAATTTATTTTTTTTTAAAAAAGGAAGCTTACTGGCAAAAACAGTGACGTTGTCTTGGTAGGCTTGATTGAGAGTGTAATTGACAATGCTCTCCTCATCTGGAAAGCCCTTAAAGATGTCCACGCTGACCTGGTGGTGGGAAAAAAGAGAGAGATTTCATCAGGGAAAGCAGCTTAGAACTGCAGACATCATCTCATCTTAAGCCCTGTTTCTGTCATGGGTTTATTTATTTTAAAGCATTTATAAACAATATACAGTGGTACCTTGGGTTACAGACGCTTCAGGTTACAGACTCCGCTAACCCAGAAATAGCACCTCAGGTTTAGAACTTTGCTTCAGAATGAGAACAGAAATTGCACATCAGCGGCGCGGTGGCAGCAGGAGGCCCCATTAGCTAAAGTGGTGCTTCAGGTTATAATAATAATAATAATAATTTATTATTTGTACCCGCCCATCTGGCTGGGTTTCCTCAGCCACTCTGGGCGGCTTCCATAGAAACCAAAAATACATTAAAATATCACACATTAAAAACTTCCCTGAACAAGGCTGCCTTAAGATGTCTTCTGAATGTCAGGTAGTTGTTTATCGCTTTGACATCTGATGGGAGGGCGTTCCACAGGGCCGGCGCCACTACTGAGAAGGCCCTCTGCCTGGTTCCCTGTAGCTTTGCTTCTCACAATGAGGGAACCACCAGAAGGCCCTCGGTGCTGGACCTCAGCGTCCGGGCAGAACGATGGGGGTGGAGACGCTCCTTCAGGTATACTGGGCCGACGCCGTTAGGGCTTTAAAGGTCAACACCAGCACTTCAAATTGTGCTCGGAAACGTACTGGGAGCCAATGTAGGTCTTTCAAGATCGGTGTTATGTGGTCTCGGCGGCCGTCCCCAGTCACCAGTCTAGCTGCCGCGTTCTGGATTAGTTGTAGTTTCCGAGTCACCTTCAAAGGTAGCCCCACGTAGAACGCATTGCAGTAGTCCAAGCAGGAGATAACTAGAGCATGCACCACTCGGGCGAGACAGTCCGCAGGCAGGTAGGGTCTCAGCCTGCGTACCAGGTGGAGTTGGTAGACAGCTGCCCTGGATACAGAATTGACCTGCGCCTCCATGGACAGCTGTGAGTCCAAAATGACTCCCAGGCTGCGCACCTGGTCCTTCAGGGGCACAGTTACCCTATTCAGGACCAGGGAGTCCTCCACACTAGCCTGCCCCCTGTCCCCCAAAAACAGTACTTCTGTCTTGTCAGGATTCAACTTCAATCCATTAGCCGCCATCCATCCTCCAACCGCCTCCAGGCACTCACACAGGACCTTCACCGCCTTCACTGGTTCTGATTTGAAAGAGAGGTAGAGCTGGGTATCATCTGCATATTGATGGACACCCAGGCCAAACCCCCTGATGATCTCTCCCAGCGGCTTCATATAGATGTTAAAAAGCAAGGGGGAGAGGACGGAACCCTGAGGCACCCCACAAGTGAGGGCCCAGGGGTCTGAACACTCATCCCCCACCACCACTTTCTGAACACGGCCCAGGAGGAAGGAGCGAAACCACTGTATAACAGTGCCCCCAGCTCCCAGCCCCTCTAGACGGTCCAGAAGGATGTTATGGTCGATTGTATCAAAGGCCGCTGAGAGATCCAGCAGAACCAGGAAACAACTCTCACCTTTGTCCCTAGCTCGCCGGAGATCATCAACCAGCGCGACCAAGGCAGTTTCAGTCCCATGATGAGGCCTGAATCCCGATTGAAAGGGATCCAAATGGTCCGCATCCTCCAGGCATGCTTGGAGTTGTTCAGCAACCACTCGCTCAATCACCTTGCCCAAGAATGGAAGATTTGAGACTGGGCGATAGTTGGCCATACTGGCCGGGTCTAAAGATGTTTTTTTAAGAAGCGGTTTAATGACCGCCTCTTTCAGCGGATCTGGGAAGGCTCCCTCACGGAGGGAAGAATTCACCACCCCGCAGAGCCCATCGCCCAGCCCTTCCCGGCTTGCTTTTATTAGCCAGGATGGGTTAAGAACAGGTTAAGAACAGTTTCAGGTTAAGAACGGACCTCCGGAACGAATTAAGTACTTAACCCGAGGTACCACTGTATTAAGCATTTTTGAAAATCTCCTAGTGGCTTCTATAATGTACAACCTCCGTTTTCCTAACAAGTGACAATCTCAGGTGTGTGGCTGCCTTGGAGAGTAGCCAGCGCAAGAGAAACTGGGGACCAGGCTACATGGATCCAGCTTGAGGTATGTGGAATAGCTCAGTTGGTATAGCAAGACTCTCAGGGCTGTGGGTTGAGCGAAAGATTCCTGCATTGCAGGGGGGTTGGACTAGATGACCCTAGTGGTACCTTCCGATTCTACATTTCTATGGTTGACTGCCTCAGCCCCACTCAGCTGCTCTTCCAACTTTCCAGTATCTCTTCAGTTCCAGCCTGTTTGAATGCTGGCAGGAACAATGGATTTTGCAATGTTGGTAAGGAATGGAATGCATGCTCCCTCACTTTGATAAAGGGGAAAAAAAATCACTCTTCTTTTTTAAAATGGAGAAATAAATGCTCCATTTCTGGTATTTAATAGTATTAAAAAACAATTTAAGAAATATATCTGCTGAATTTTGCAGTTGCAAAAAAAGAAAAAAGTTCATTTGAGTTACATGTTTAAAAGAGAAAAATGACAAATGTTCCACCCGCCGACCCTTTTGCCCAATCTGAAGGCATATTACAATTCTAAATAACGATAGTACAGTTTGTATGAGTGCTGAGGTGGAGAGAGCCTGGAATTTGCTGATGTAAAGATGTTAGCACAATAATCTATTGTGGAATGTGGCAGGTGCTGTGTGTCTTGTAGACTCTTTTGTCTGTGTACTGGATAAACAGCCACCAGGTTGTTGTTTTTTAATCGTGTAATTTTTGAGAAGTAAGTTTGTTAAAGTTTAAAAATGAAAAGCAAGGGAGATTTTAGTCCTAAAAATTATCTCTTGAAAGCCCCTGGTTTCTAACACTTTTAGGTACTGCTCCAGTAAAGCAGAACTTCAAGGTCCAGAGCAGAATCTGGAAGAAGTGGGTTCCACGAGCCCCTTGAGTTCCTGCCGTTTCTCTTTCCTCCCAAGAGGGCAGCAGGGACACTCACCTTGGACATGAACTGAATCCAGCCACAGGCTGCATTGTCAATGGTGTCCAGCTGCTGCAGGAGCACACTGGCGTTGGGCAAAGAGAAGTTACTGTCCAAGAAGTTGTGAAGCAGGTCACCATCTGACACGTTCAGGATTTCGGGGTGCTTGCGAAGATCTGCAGCGATCTGCGGGTAACGGACAAACATGGGAAGGAGAGGGGTGATGAGGAGCTTCCACCTCTAGGCCAGCCTTTGCCACTCTGGCCCTGTTGGGCTACAGTTCAGACCAGCCCCAAGCCAGCACTGCCAATGGGGTGGTGGGAATTGTTGTCCAACAACATCTGGACAAGTATGATCTAGATGCAGAGCAGCATGCTTCTTAGACTTTGGTGCTTGCACATAAACACACGCGCCATTGTGGGATGACAATTGATCCTTTAGTCCTGGTGCCACTGCAGAAGAGGCCCTGCTCCTAGCAGAGGACAACCTGGTCTCTAGAAATGATAGCACAAGGAACAGAACTTCACTGGTTGACCAGGGGGCTTATGAGAACCTCTGCCATGGGCTCCACTTGCATTTTTGGCACTCCCATTCACCTCTGCTACACTCAGAAGCGCAGCATGAGGCCCAGTCCCTGTGGAGGCTCCAACAGTAGCATCCTTTGGGGAGAGACTCCCTGCATGTACTTGGAGTCCATTATCTGGTGTCTCAGAAGAGATTCTATTGGAGAAGGACTGTAGCTCAACAGAGCAGAGCAGATGCTTGGCAAGCAGAAGGTCGCAGGTTCAATTCCTGGCTTCTCCAGTGACAAGGACTGAGCAGCAAGTTGGTGACAAAGGTTTTTCGTTTCCTGAGACCCTGAAGGGCCACTGCCAGACAAGTGTTAAAACAGGGCTAAAAGAGCAAATAGTTTGCCCTGGTTGAAAGCAGCTTCCAATGCTCCTGGCAACGCAGAGGAGCTTGGAATCTGCAGAAGTCAAATTAGTAGCTCAGCGGACATTCCAACATTAGTTCCACCCACTGAGTTTTACGTGTATAATTAAGATCCATTTATTTCAATGGGTCTACTCTGATTGGTTGGTGACTTTTCCTTTTAACTGTCTGAAATGCAACTGAGCGCCAGAAGGTTTCCCAGATATCCCAGGACTGGATGCAGAAAGTGGGAGCAGGCTGAACAGAAACACACACACACATGCAGGGAGGACAAACCAGCCCCATCACAGTCCTGCCTGTGGCTGCAGTGATAAAACCTATGCAGACCCTGGAGGAAGCACCTTTTTCTACAAGCTGCACCAGAATCCTGGGACCGCAGCAGAGCTTGCACCACTGTTCCCCCTGAGCTGCTCTGTCCTCTCATCTGGGTCTAGCCCTTTTTAAACGTTGTTGCTCCAGCTGTGGAATGGGTACACTTCTTGCCTGTCCCACTGTCCCACCCCATACCCTCTAACAGCGTACCTGCTGCAGCCTGCTAATCTGTTGCTGCAACCTGCCCTCTTCCAGGAAACTGCGGATCTCCGCTGACATGTTCATCCACACTTGGGCATAGTGAGTCACATTCCCGACAAAGGCAAAGGTCTCATTGGCCTGCAGAACAACCAGAGTAAGCAAAGAGTAAGCAAAGGAAAAGGAGGTGCCCCACAGCCAGGTGTTTAAAGACAACACCCCCCATGAGTTCCACGTGAAAATGCACTTTCTTTCATCTTTTCAACAAAAGTCCCAATCAAGACTTTTGTTAAGCCATGTTGGGGGGTAGGAGATCCAGGAAACTCCAGATATTTTGCCATGTAAGAACAGTCTGCTAGATCAGGAAAACGATCCAGAGTTCTCAGCACCCTGGCCAAATTCCCCAGGATTTTCTGGGGGAAAGCCACAAGGCAGTTAAACTGGGATGCAAGCGATGCAGGCTCACAGTGCAGATGAGCCATAGAATCATAGAGCCCTATGCTTCCTAACAAGGAAAGGGCAGGGGAAGAAATGAGGGACGTTCAGGAGCACATCCCAAAGCCAGCTTCCCTCAAAGCCTCACCTTCAGAATGACCTTGTCCACTTCTGTGCCCACGGGAGCGTAGAGGATCTTGGGGTTGCTGGTCATGAGGTGAACGAGAAGGCCCAGATTCCGCTGCTCTTTGCTGGTGAATCCCAGAGAACTCATGTTGCCCTGTTTCAAGGCCTCTGGCTCAATGGTCCTGCACAGAGAAGAGGAAAAAGACATCGAAATTTACTCTTCCTGACAAATGTGCTGCAAAGGAGGAAAACGGAGGCAAACCATGGGAACTTTGCTGCTGTTGTCGCATTTTTATCATGCATTCACACTTTATTCCCCCAGAACTGCAAATTAAGTTGTACATGCAGGTCCCATTTTCCACCCAAAATGCATTCCTCAGTGAGCGTTTGCCTAATAAGTCAACAATTTCTACTGATTCCTATCGGTGATTTCTAATCTGTGATCTCTCCCCCTCACCTGCTCCTGTCACGCCTTCTTCCGAAAATTGTTACATCAACCAGTAAAAGAAAAATGAAGGAAAAACAGCTTTGCCCAATCTCTCCCCCCACCCCCTCTCTCCATGGTTGCTGAAAATGGCTGCCACTGAGCAGCAAAGAACAAACAAGTAAGGAAGTGGGCCAACGCTGGCTGTTCAGATATCTGAATCAGCCATACAGGTAGCAAGGTTTGGGTATAATTCTTTGTGTTTGGATAAGTAAATTAGTGGATAATGAGTGGATGGATGGTGAGACTTGTGTGTACCTTATTGCCTTGTTTCTGATGGTTGGTTTGTACTGTACCCTAGATTTGCAAACAAGTGCTTGCGGGGCCCAGCTACTGCCAACATATAAACCTTGCTTGTAGGACTTGTCTTGGCTGCCAGTTTGTTACAAAGTTCAAGGTGTTGTTACTAACAAATAAGGCCCCAAACTAGGTATAGGCAAACTCGACCCTCCAGATGTTTTGGAACTACTACTCCCATCATCCCTAGCTAACAGGACCAGTGGTCAGGGATAAATGAAATGGTTGCCATACTGCATAACAGTGTTTAATTATCTTATGCGTACAACACCTTGAGACAGTGGTTTTGAAGGTGAATAATACATTAATTGTTGTAATAATAATAATAATAATAATAATAATAATAATAATAGGTGTGTGCAGCGATTTCAGCGACATATCACAGCCCAAAAGGTTCCAACAATTTAAGGGCTGTAGCCAATGTTAGTCCTACTCAGAGCAGAACCACTGAAATTAACAGACATGGCTTTTAATGCTTTAAAATATCATAACTCTCTTTTAAACTGACAATGTCATTGTTTTATTCTGTTTCATGAACGACTTTGAGGTTGCTCCTTTTATAATCGTGGTGTTTAAATTTTATGAAATGAATGGCGATCACAACTTCCAGTGACTTTACTTACGCAATCGCAACTTTACACAGATCATCACTCACTCGATCAACAGAAAGGGGGCATGAAAACTTGGCTTACTGGCCTCTGGAGACTCTTGCAGGATCCCAGATGGCCCCATGAGATCTCGCAGAAGCCTCCAAAGGCCTTGCATAACTGTCCCAGAGCCTGGGTAAGTAAGGCTTCAATACCTGCTTCTGCAAAGGGCTGTTCTTAAGACCTCCACCTTGCTTATGAGACTCTTTGGACAGTCATCCAAAGGCTCTGGGGGGCTTTTGTGAGATCTCATGGGGCTGTCTTGAGGTCTTGCAAGATTGGGGCCGTTCAGTATAGAAGGGCTTTTTCAGGGGTTGTTCAGACTTTCCTTTACGAGCAACCCCTGGGGATATAACGTAACCCTTGCACAACTTGCAATTGCCCTGTAAATACAATAAACGAAGCAGCTGTGCTGACAGACGGGGCTGAAGCACTGGCAACTACAGATCCTCTAGAAGCCTGTGAAAAGACTTGCCAGTCTCCGGGCCACTTGGCCTTACCGGTTGTTGCCGCAGAGGATGGGCTGCAGGCCAGCCCAGAGCTGGACGAAGGCCGAGCACTGCCCTTGGGGGTTCTCTGTGGGTGCCTCACTCTCCCCCTTGCCCTCCTCAGCGCTGGAATTGGTGCTGGAGGTGAAGTTCCCGGTGGAGCTGGTGCTGTTGGAGGTAGTGGGGGGTGCTTTGGAGGTGCAGGCCCCCTTGGGGAGGAGCTTGGCAAGCGCCGAGAGGATGTCCACGTCCTTCAAGACGTTCTCCATCTCCATCAGGTCCTCCAGCACAGTGTGGAGACGGTTCCTGGCTGCCGTGCTGTTCACCTCGTCAAGTTTCAGCTGCGTGAGAAGGGCAAGGGAGGAGTCAGCAACGCCACGGGATTTTGGCCTTTTCACAGAGCAGATTCCTGCCCCGCTCCATCCCACAAGAGCTCAGCAGGGCTTCATGGGGCCCTATTGAGCAGCAGACATTACCCACAGACCACCACCACTTGACAGCCAGCCAGTAACCAGGACTATTTTAAGCCTCTGCCAGCGCCCTAGCAGTATACTGCTTCTAAACATGGGGTGTTCCACACAGCCATTGATGGGCATATCCTTCACAAATCTGTCAACAGATCGCTTTACCCCATATGTGCCCACTAGACTGCTTTGATTTATGTTAACTGGCATATTGTCACAGCTGCCACATAATACTTGTTCTGCATTTGTAAGAAATTGATCTTTTAGTGTGGCATCACCCACATTTTGGAACTCCCTGGAAAGGGTTACTTTTGGGTTTCGCCACTCGCACATGTGCAGAGGCGCAAAATGACATCACGCGCAGAAGCGGCAAATCGAAACCCGCGTGTGCGCAGACGCGTAGATGCGGGTTGTATTCCTTTCAGGTTGCGAATGGGGCTCTGGAACGGATCCCATTTGCAACCAGAGGTACCACTGTATTTTGAATGTTTTAAACAGTTCTTTTTAACTGTTTTCACTGACAATTTTATCATTCAATTCTTTTTGTAAACTGCTTTGAGGTTTTTTGTGTTTTTTTACAATCAAGCCATATATACATTTTATGATATAAAAGGATTACACAAATTAATTGAGGAGAGTTCTAGCCAGTGGCTATTAACTGTGAGAGCTAATGGGACTTCCACATATGGTAACATTATACCTTCAAGCACCAGGTGCTGGGAACAGGGTCTGTGGAGGGGAAATTGCTGCCTCCATGCCCTGCTCATGAGTTGCCCAGGGATATCCTGCTGGATAGTGTAAAACAGGGGTGGGTGATCTGTGGCCTTCCAGATTAGCCAAATTAAACTGCAACTCCTGCAGTTCTTGCCCATTAGCCATGCTGGCCATGGTGAATAGGAGTCAAGCAGCATCTGAGAGGGATACAGTGACCCTTCTATAAAGAAAGGTTGCAGAATTTGAGACTTTTTAGTTTGGGAGAAAGAGGCGACATGATTGAAATTCAAAAAATTATGCGTGGCATAGAAGAAGTGGCTAGAAAAAGGGGTTTCTTCCTCTCTCATAACACTAGAAGTCATGGACGTCCAATGAAGCCGAATACAGTGGTGCCTCGCAAGACGAAATTAATCCGTTCCGCGAGTCTCTTCGTCTTGCGGTTTTTTCGTCTTGTGAAGCACGGCTATTAACGGCTTAGAGGCTATTAACGGCTTAGCGGCTTTAAGAAAAAGGAAACAAACTCGCAAGAACTCGCAAGACGTTTCGTCTTGCGAAGCAAGCCCATAGGGAAATTCGTCTTGCGGAATGACTCAAAAAACGCAAAACCCTTTCGTCTAGCGAGTTTTTCATCTTGCGGGGCACCACTGTAGTGGAAAATTCAAGGTAGGTAAAAGAAAGTACTTCTTCACCCAGTGCATAAACTATG